ACCGGACCCGAGCCAATCACCCCAACAACTTACATAACAACTGTAAAGCATAAATTTTGCAGTAAATGAGGAAACGGGGTTGTACTATTCAAAATGACCGATTGGGTCATTACATCCTCCCCTTCTTAAACAAACGTTCGTCCTCGAATGGGTTTAGAAAAATACCCGGAGTTTCAAATAGGTGTGGATATTTACTCTGCATCTCCCGTTCAGTCTCCCAAGTAGCTTTCGACTAGCTGGTCTCTCCACTGCACTTTCACTGAAGCTATGTTCTTTGATCTCAACTTTCGAACCTGCCGATCTAAAATTGTCACCGCCTCCACATCATAAGTCAAATTACTATCCAACTGAACTGTGCTAAAATCCAAAATATGAGACGGATCTCCGACATAATTCCGGAGCATAGATACATGAAACACTGGATGAACACCCGATAGACTAGGTGGCAAAGCAAGTTCATAAGCCACCTCTCTGATCCTTTTAAGTATTTCAAAAGGTCCAATATATCTAGGACTCAACTTGCCTTTCTTCCCGAATCTCATAACACCTTTCATAGGCGAAACCTTGAGCAGAACCTTCTTCCCAACCATGTAAGACACATCACGGACCTTCCTGTCGGCATAACTCTTCTGTCTAGACTGCACCGTGCAAAGCCGCTCCTGAATCAATTTAACTTTGTCCAAGGCATCCTAAACCAAGTCAGTACCCAATAGCCTAGCCTCACCCAACTCAAACTAACCCACCGGAGACCGACACCGTCTCCCATATAAAGCCTCATACGGAGCCATCTTAATGCTCGATTGATAGATGTTATTACAAGCAAACTCTGCTAGCGGCAGAAATTGATCCCAAGAACCCCCAAAATCAATGACATAAGCGCGTAGCATATCTTCCAATATTCGAATGGTGTGCTCGGACTCTCCATTTGTCTGAGGGTGAAATGTTGTACTCAGCTGAACCTGTGTACCTAAATTGTGATGTAAATTGTGTGCCCCGATCTGAAATGATGGACACTGGCACTCCATGAAGGCGAACAATCTCGCGGATATAAATCTCGGCTAACCGCTCCGAAGAATAAGTAGTACCAACAGGAATAAAATGCGCGGGCTTGGTCAATCTATCCACAACCACCCAAATGGCATCAAATTTCCTTGAAGTCCATGGGAGACGAACTACGAAGTCCATGGTGATACACTCGTACTTCCACTCCAGAATTTCAAGTCTCTAAAGTAATCCGCTCATTCTCCGGTGCTCGTACATCACCCGTTGACAATTTAAACACCGAGCTACAAACCTAACTATATCTTTCTTCATTTTTGTCCACCAATAATGTTGTCTCAAGTCCTGGTACATCTTTGTGGCACCCGGATGAATGGAATACCGCGAACTATTGGCTTCTTCCAGAATCAATTCACGCAAATTCGACCTTGCATCCTCAGCACCCCATCATCTCTGATGGGGGGGGGGGGGTCAGTGATCGCAACTTCGATCAGATGGTCGCAATTGCGGGATGGCCAATGTTCGCAATTGCGATGATAGCAGAAAATGTGGGACTTCGCATTTACGAAGGTTTTCTCGCATCAGCGGGGTTCACAAATACGAACCCAGGTCGCAATTGCGACATCTGCAACTGGTCAAATATGAGCTAGACATTTTTTTCTCTCATTCTTCAAATTTTCAAACCTAAAGAACCCTAGAGGCGATTTTTCCAAGAGCCCTTCTTCCGCAATTCATTGGTAAATGATTCTAACCTATTTTCTTTTCCATTACATATCATAAGATTTCAACCTAAAATATAGTAATTTCATGGTGAAAATTGGGGGTTTGGGTAGGAATAGGAATATTTGTAAAATTGGGATTTAGACCTCAAATTGAGGTCGAATTTCAAAACAAATTACATAATCGGGCTCGGGGTGAATGGGTAAATGGGTTTTGGTTCGAATTTCGGGTTTGGACCAAGCGGGCCCGGGAGTTGACTTTTTCAATAATGACCTAAATTGAACCTTTTTCATTTGTGGGTAGTTCCTAAGGCTTATTTTGAATCGTTCGGTTGGTAATTTGCTAGATTTTGTTGGTTCGGAGGCTTGTTTGAAAGGCAAAGTTTCGGTTGAGCTTTGAGTTGATCTTTGGAGCGAGGTAAGTGTCGTGGCTAACCTTGATTTGAGGGTTAGGACTTACTTGTCTACTAGCTACTTGTTTAAATATTGGGAACAACGTATATGTGAGGTGACGAGTACTTATGCGAGCGAGACTTGGTTCTTGTAATTTATTACCTTCTTTGATCATGATATCCCTGCTTAGACTAGTAATTGTTAAATTGAACGTTCTTTCCGCATTTATGGGCTATCTATGATAATTGAGTATTGTTTCTCAAATTGAGGTTGGTATTGTGGAACCATTATTGACGTAAGGCTTGTTCTTGTTTATCATATCTCCCTATTGTTATATGTTCATTGTTATATGGTAAGGGAGAGTGTTAATGCATGAAGGGTGATGTCGTGCCATATTGTGAGAGTTAATGTACGAAGGGTGATGTCGTGCTATATTGTGAGAGTTAATGCAGGAAGGGTGATTCCGTGCCGTATCTATTGATTTATGATGAAAGTAAAAGCAAAAGCATGAAGGGTAATGTCGTGTCGTTATCATTGATTCATAGTGATGTTGAGAGTAAAAGCACGAAGGGTGATGCCATACAAATTTATTCATTGCGTTATGTTCATCTTGTTGGTTAAAGATTACTGACTGTCTCTTATTATCATTCCTGTTGTTATTACTGTATCTTGCACCCCTTATCGCATGTCCCCTCCCGATAGTACTTATTAATTCTTTATTTGTTGTTATGTTGCTCGTATATTTCTGTCCGTATAGCTTTATTTACGTGGGTGTCCTGTCATAGCCTCGTCACTACCTCGTCGAGGTTAGGCTCAACACTTATGGAGTAAATTGGGTCGGTTGTTCTCATACTACACTCTGCACTTCTTGTGCATATTTTGGTACGGGTCCCAGCTGTTCGTGAGGCGTTTCAGCTTGGAACTTCTTTTTGAGACTCGAGGTAGATTTACTGGCGTCCGTAGATGTTGAAGTCCCCCTTCCATTTTCCCTATTTTACTGTTCTTTTCATTCAAGAAAATTGTATTTATTTCAACCCTGTTTGTAGAGATTCTAGAAGCTCGTGAATTATGACACCAGATCCGGGTTGCACTAGACATTATTGGCTTTTATGTTATTCCGCACTCAATTTTAGTTTTATTTCGGCTTAATTGATTTGCTTATTAGAATTGGTTAAAATTGACTTAAAGATCCTCTAACATTGACTTGCGTAGCAAGTGAAATGTTAGACGCAATTACGGTCCCGAAGGTGGGAATTCCGGGTCGTGACAAATATCTATAATAGAAAAAATCCCCCCTTATCCTTTAATTTTATTCTGCTTCTTCTTGTTTTCGTTGTATTTTAATCTAATATTAAGTTCATTCAACCTTTTCAAGTATTTTTCTCTTAGGAAGATAAAAGGAGAAAAATGAAAAAGACTGCAAGAGGAATGAGGAAAGACAAGCTCAGCAGATAGTGGAGAAAGGATTTTACATTAATTAATTTGTAATTTAATCTATTTTTGATTGATGATAATTATTTTGTAAGAAATTATTACAATGATGAAATAACTAAATGAAATAAAAAAGCATTGTTCAATAAAAGAGAAAAAAGAATGAAATTTCACATACGAGACAAAGTTATCTATTTATTATAGATTATAATTTGGCTATGATACATGAAAAAGTACTGTTTTGGGCAAGATTTAAGTAATATGTATTGACAATATTATATTTTAAAAAAAATATTTTTAGTACAATTTAATCCGTTATAACATGTTTACGTGCTTATCATTTAGTATATATTATCAATAAATATTATTAAATAAAATTACCTTCAATTACCTTTTAAGTTATTGTATATGAGTGTACTTGTAACTCGATTGTGTACATGGGTGTACTTGTAACTAAGTCATTATACATGTGTAAGATTTTAATAATATATGGGCATAAGTGTTTGATTTTAAAATCTAAAGGGTGTATCCGTAATTAAGTCATTATATTAGTATGAATTTCATGATATAGTAGGTATAGTATTTTATTTTAAAATACAAGAGGTGTGTATGAAACTGAATCATACTTATAGAGGTGTTTAATGCAATTAATACAAATATTTAAATCAACTTAGTACTCCTATAAGTTTAAGAAAATACCAATGGCAAACATAAATATAACCTTTACAAGTGAAGGTCAAACTTGTCATTTAACATCACAACCTAGATAACCAGCAGAAAAGGAAGGTGGAGGGTCCATTTTCAGTTTCCACTTTTATCCTCTTTTATTTCTAAATTTTCCTCCTAAAAACACTTTTCTCCTAGGCTAACAAAACCACCAAGACCACCATATACCCACCCCCCCTACATCCTTCACCCCACCCCCCTTACCCTTTACTCAAACCCCATACCCACCAACACTACTAGTACTACTACCTTCCCATATCCCAAATCACATGTTAAACAAACTGGTTTCTTGATCCATTACCATGTTACTTCTTATTATTCCCAACTCATTTTCTTCCTCAGGTACCCTTCACATTTTCTTGATTTTCCTGAAATGATTAAAGTTTTGAACTTTATTATCTGTTTTTCTTTTGTGCATTAACACTTTTGTTTGGAATGTGAATGTAGATTGTTTTTTGCTTTTCTTGATTTAGTTCAAAAGGGTTTTCAAGATTTATATACATGGTAGATTTTTTTTTTTAAACCCATTCTGGGTTTTCTTGAAATGAGTAAAGTTTTGAACTTTATGATCTGTTTCTGTTTTTTTGGGCATTAACAATTTTGTTAATAATGTGAATGTGGGTTGTTTTTGCTTTCTTGATTTAGTATAACAGGTTATTTATTTTATGGGGTTCTCCAGATTTGGATAAATGGTACTAGTTTCTCTTTTTAACCCATTTTGCTGATTTGGTTTTTTCTTGGATCCTTATTTGAGACATTTTTGTGTGTGTGAAAATCGAATCTTTATTTGAGTTCTGTACATTTTGGTCTCTGATCTCTCACATTGTGCTTCTTACTTCAATTGTGTTGTTGGGTATGACTTTTGTTTTGTTTCTTTGTTTTGGATCTGTGGGCTTCTTTGTTGGTACTTGCTGTGTGAACACTGACCACATAGTTAGTTAAAGGATGTTAATTGTTTCCTACTGTTATTCAAGAAGAGCTTTTAGTAGAACTAATTGAATGAGACTTTCTTCAGATTTGCTTGTCTGCATACATGTACATGAATGGGATTGATTGCAATTTTGAAAATAATATCCAGATCTGTGGGTTATGAGTACTGATTCATGCTACTGCTCTATTGTATCTACATCTATTACAGATTCATTGTTTCATTTTCTTTTAAATTGGGAGGAAGAAAATTATTAGAACTCTCGTCCGCCCCTCTCTTTACCCTCTGTAGCCGAACTTTCTTACTTATGCGATGAGGAGCTTGCTTAGTATTGAAATCGAGTTGGCAGAAAGTACCGAAAGTCGGCCGCCTGCCCTATCATCCCATGTCTCAACCATCTTTTTTGAAATTATGGGTATTGCATAATGGTCTACAGCATCTCTAGATCTCTGTGCATTTTCCCCCACCTTATACTTATTTGTCATTTTCTCGTTCTCATTAGTTGCGATGCGGAAAATAGTTGATGCTTCTTTCTGGAATTTAAGTCCTAGTGAGTGCATATGTGTTGTGCTAAGTCTGAAGTATCTAAATTTGAAGTTAAGCTTTGATATAAAGAAAGCTTATCATAGCCGTTGGTGCTTCTTGTATTTTGCTTCCCAATGCAAATGAGATGCTTATACGGCACTTTTTTTGTTGAATAGGTATGACATTACTGTTGAAATTGGTCTGCTGAGGTGGGTTTTCAGCCTGTTATCAAGTCTCTATTCGTGGGTGTTAAAGAATAAACATTTCTGTCCTGTCTACGTGCATTGCCATTGGGCTTCTACTGATAGCTAGGTTGGCATTATGGGTTCTCGGTTCCCGTCTCATAAGCTGAGCAGTGGCCTTTATGTATCTGGCCGGCCGGAACAGCCGAAAGAGAAGGCTCCAACAATGAGCTCAGTTGCCATGCCTTATACTGGCGGTGATATTAAAAAGTCTGGAGAGCTTGGGAAAATGTTTGATATCCCAACCGGGGGACGGAAATCTGGACCTATTAACAATGCCCCATCAAGAACAGGATCATTTGGTGGCGCTACTTCTCATTCGGGTCAACTGAATTCAATCAGTCGCATGGCTTCTGGTGGCGGTCCTGGATCTGTTTCTTTGAAAAAGACCAACTCAGGTCCTCTAAATAAACACGGAGAGCCTATGAAGAAGTCATCTGGTCCCCAAGCTGGAGGGGCTACTGGTACTTCCCGCCAAAATTCTGGCCCTATTCCCCCAATTCTCCCTACAACAGGCCTCATTACATCCGGTCCCATTTCTTCTGGCCCACTCAATTCAGCTGGTGCTCCGCGAAAGGTGTCGGGTCCATTGGATTCCACAGGCTCGATCAAGCTACAGAGTTCTATTGTTAATAACCAGGCTGTTACTCGTCTATGCCCCGGTGAAGAATTTTCCTTCCGTAAGAGCTTCCCGAAGCCAATACTTTGGTCTATAATTCTTCTATTTGTGATGGGATTTATAGCTGGTGGCTTTATTCTTGGTGCTGTTCACAATCCCATTCTTCTTGTCGTTGTTGTTATCCTGTTTGCCATTGTTGCTGCGGTATTCACATGGAATACTTGTTATGGAAGAAGTGCTATAGTTGGTTTCATCTCTCAGTACCCTGATGCGGAGCTTAGAACTGCAAAAGATGGCCAATTTGTTAAAGTTTCTGGGGTATGTTTTTTCTTGATAATGTTCATTCTGCACATCTTCGAATCACCATTACTATCCCATTTTCTCATGGAAATAGCTACTGCTTTTCCCAGTTTGTTATTGCCCATCCTCCCTTTTCTGAACTGCAGTTTAGGATCCTTTAGTAAAGTAGTAATAGTCTCTACTCGAGGTATTGTATTTGTGTTAGTACACACTAGTGTTTCAGTTGCCATAGGTTAGTGGTGAATTCTACATAATATCGCTCACTTGAATATTACGGTTGCTATATTTACTGCTAATCATAGTCAGAAGTAAGGAAACTCTTCCTATGAGTATGTGGAAACAAAACGAATATTTGGCCAAAAGAAATTGAAGACTAAAAATTTGGTATCATAGGATTTAAATTCCGACGTGCAAATTAGTTAGTTGGTCCAATAGATTCATGATATTTTTTGGTCAATGGACACTTGAAAAAGAAAACAACCATAAAATTGTCATGTATTTTATGCACCTATCACCTTTGCTACGGATAGGTAAAGCATTTACTAGAGAGGATCTGTTATACACAGTGGTGCAAAGTTTTCTATTTGCTATCGAGGACATTTACTGTTGGAGTCAATTCTTAGTCATATATCTGTAAGTTTTTCTTTTTATAGCTTCTGCGTAGGTCGGCCTGGCTCCTTGAAAATTTTAAAATGCTCTTGCAAGTATGATGATCTTACTTGAGTTTATGAATGTTATTGTTCTTTGCATTTTTCTAAATTCTTACCTTGTCTGCATTAGATCTCGGAAACTGTTCGGATATTAAGTTTTAACTATTGCTTTATGGCTTTGCAGGTAGTTACATGCGGAAATGTTCCTCTGGAATCCGCATTTCAGAAGGTTTCTAGATGTGTTTATACATCCACTAGCTTATATGAGTACCGAGGGTGGGATTCAAAAGCTGCCAATCCAGAACATCGTCGTTTCACTTGGGGCCTTCGTTCCCTGGAGGTGAAAAGAGATTTAACTTGCCTTTTTATTCATTTTAAAATACCTTCTTTTTTGGATTTTGGGTGATCAGTTGGAACGACCCAATTTTGCCATGCAGCTGCATTCTCTGCCCTCCCTTTGCAGTATATGATGACGGAAGCCTATGATTTATATACATAGACTTCCACCCAATTTTTTTATATGTTCACGGCGTACATTTTTGACAAAGCAAGTGCTAAGGAACATGCAATTTTCGCCATGAATTATAATGGAAAAGAAGAATGTGTCCAAGGACTGAGCTCAGTTTTAGCTGTTTATATTCTCTTGTTGCATGGAAATGCTTTAAACAGACCGGTTGACTTAGGGAAATTAAAAGACAAGAGTAATATGAGAAAAGAACTCAGGGAATCATCTTGCCGTCACCTTTCTAAGTCAGTGAAGTAATAGAAGCTTCTATGAGTCAAGATAAACTCCTATGCTCCCTCTATCTAGGGAGAGTATCAAAGGTAGAATAGACCACATGACCTATAAAGTGATTTTGTCACCTAACATTACCTAGCATTTTATCTCCTGTGAAATTATCATGTTGATCTTCATAACTATTGTTCGATTGTGTGATGAAAGCGCGTTGTTTGATTTATTCAAATAAACCTTATAAATTAGGGATGAAGCAAGCATATGGTTACAGCGAGACTGAAAATTTTATATGCTTCCTTTTTTCTTTTTGCAGAGACATGTTACAGATTTCTACATCTCTGACTTCCAATCTGGATTAAGGGCGTTGGTGAAAACTGGATGTGGTGCAAGAGTAACCCCTTATGTTGACGAATCAGTCGTTGTGGACATCAATCCATCAAATAGGGACATGTCCCCAGAATTTGTCAGGTGGCTAGCTGCGAGAAATCTATCCAGCGATGACAGAATAATGCGATTGAAAGAAGGGTATGATTTTAACAAATTTCAAAGATTGGTGCTTGCACTTTTTTACATAATACTGCTGTAGTGTCACTCTTGACTCTTTTCTCATCTACATTTGCGATCAGGTATATAAAAGAAGGTAGCACGGTCAGTGTAATGGGAGTTGTCCAACGAAATGATAATGTCCTAATGATCGTTCCTCCTCCTGAGCCGTTTTCAACAGGATGTCAGTGGAGTAAATGCATTCTTCCCGCCAGTTTAGAGGGAATTGTACTGAGATGTGAAGATAGTTCAAAGATTGATGTCATTCCAGTGTAACAGATGAAGGCGCTACTCTTTTGGTTTTCACGTTGTTTAAGTAGTACTGAGAATGAAGTCTCCAATCGGTTAACCAGGTGTATAGTTTGTCAATCCTATTTTTTGCTTCTTTTTTCTTTCTTTTATCTGTAATGGTGTTGGTGTGATTATTATAGTAGAGGAAACATGTTGATTACTGAGGATTTTGGAGAGCTTTTTTTAAGGTTAGAGAAGTTTGATATATTCTTATTCATGTGGGGGCTTGGAAAAAAACAAGATATGTTTATTGGTTTGAAGAATTTTTTGTGTGGCCTCTTAGCCACTTTCAATTGCTATGAACTAAGATCTCATTTGCAGAAATATGCTGTTGCTACCTAGTTACATATTGGAAAATTGAAGCATTGAAGTTCAGACAAGGAAAAAGTTACAAGGTTGAAACAATTTTGATATAATTGGAGTATTTTTCTGGCTTTTACACACTATTTAATGTGTATATGGTTTCAATTGTCTCTACTACTTGATTCTTTTTGTTTATAGAGGGTCTATTTTATTTTTATATCAAAGTCTTAAACTTCTCACACATATATTAAAAATGTTTGAAATGTTTTGACTTTCTAAATTCTAATGATGAACTGTCGGATGCGATCACCGGCGGAGCCAGAATTTTCGTTAAGGGGTGTCAAAATATATTTAAAAGTAAACATATCGGAAAATTAAGGGTAGTCGATACATAGTATATATACATATAATTTATTTATTTTACCTATCTACACAGTGTATTTTTCCCGCGAAGGGGTGTCATTCCTATAAGGTGGCTTCGCCACTGGATACGATAAGTTTTGCTTATGAATCAGTCACAAGTTTTGTATTTTGAAGTTTCACTATAAATTGACTAGTTTTATACTAGACGTTAACTAATTTGAATTCTCTTTTTTTATCCGAGCTTCTGATTGACAATGTGAGCATAGCTTATATAGATAGAGTTCTCCACATATCAATAAAAATTTAAATGTGATTTCGACTTTAAAATTTGGACTCCTATATTGATCTCAGAAGGACTTAGTCACAAAAATAGTAAAAAGTGATAATCGGAATTTACTTGTACTAATTTCCACAAAACAAAAAATATAAGTTTTGTTATTGGCTTGATATTGTAAGGCCAAATTGCCTCGCATAAATGAATAGTAAAATGGATGGTGTGCCATCAAATGCTTTAATACACTACGTGTTTTGCAACTTAAATTAAAATATTTGTCATATTTTGCACTAGTATAATTTTGGTTACTACTATTGTTATCCAAAATATGCTACTATAATATAATTTAACTTACTATTTCTTTCCAAAATGTTTTAAAATTTATATGAAACATTATCCCAAAAGTTTGATCATTTGTCCTCTAAAGTTCACTTTTAGAAGTTAGAACACCTAAATATGAAAAGGATTAAAAATTACACGTATAGAATATTTGTACCAAATGAATGCAAGATATGTATTTTTTTCCACTCGTTTAGCAAGTAATCATAGTTAAGTGACAAATAATCTCATTTTTATTAGCATCTTCTAAAATTAAAATTCTTGGTTCAGCGAGTACAAGTAAATTTTTACCTATGAAAAGGAAGAGGGATTTTTTCATTTCTATACACTATTTGAAATTTTATTACCTTTATTGTCCATGTTTAGTTAATTACCCGGCATAAACAAGTTTTGTTTACAAAATATATACAATCCACCTTGCCTTTGGGCTCCTTCATTAAACGCCCGATCCAGTGCTTTTATCGCATGAATTCAATCCAAATTCGTGAAAATCTGCACATTTACTTCTTAATCAATCACAAACATATTACTTATCAATCATCATTCCTGATCAATAGATCGCAATTTGAATCCATTTATACAACTTACAATTTTCCTTTGACTAATACTACGCAAGATGCTTCTTAATTGAGCATCTTGTTTAATCAATTCATACAGCAATCTTTCGTGCACGTAGCTGTTCAGGAAGAAACAAAAAAAATCTCAGAAAAAATAATTGCTTTTTAGAAAACAAAATCATTCAAAATTGAGAAATTAGGGAGTCAAACTATACAGTTTTTCTGAACATATCTCACATGTGATAATCATCAGCATCAATATCATAGCCTAACGCCTACATTAAAAGTCAATGGCTATAGAAGTAGGTTATCCGAAAGAAATGAGTTTTATATATGTGAGGAAGAAAGAAGAAGGCGAGAGAAAGAAGAAGGTAATCGCTGGTGGTCTGAATTTCTCCGGTAAGGGTGGCAGTGGTGATTTTAGGGAAAGACAAATTTAAGGCAATTTTGATAAAAGGGAGAGACAAATTTTATATGACGAGGAGGAGAAGTAACTGTGGAAGAAAAATATACAACTTAAATACTATTTGATACAAAATTTATACAATATGTCTTTTGTATATTTTGTATCTGATTTATACATAGTAAAAATAAATTTTATACAACTAATTATATATTATACAATTTATCTACACTTATCTACAACTTATCTACAACTTTCACACATTATTTCTACCCAGTTAAATACAACTACAATAACATACAACTTAAATACAAATTTTATACAATATGTCTTTTGTATATTTTGTATATGATTTATACATAATAAAAATAAATTCCATACAACTAATTATATATTATACAACTTATCTACAACCTATCTACAATTTTCATACATTATTTCTACTCGGTTACATACAACTTAAATATAATTTTTATACAATATTGTTCGACTTTCATACAACTAATTATATATTATACAATTTATCTACTTTCATATGTATGTATGTATGTATGTATGTATGTATAAACAGAATACAATTTTTCTACAGTTTTTCTACATTTCGTAAATATAATGTATATCGTGTCTTCTTCTTCTTCTTCTTCTTCTTCTTCTTCTTCTTCGAGTTTCAATCTGAAATTCAGCCAAAATCTAGTATAATCTTCACCAAAACACCCTCAAAATTGAGATATAAACTCCAGACCATATTCCCAATTGTTTGCAACAACACCCAATCCAAACAAATAATGATTTTTGAAAACCCAAATTCGAATTCAAAGCTTCAAAGTTTTCTAATGGCTGTCAATAGTGGAATTGTTGCTCTCTTTTCCTTCGCTTTACATTACTGAAATTAAGGATTGAGAGATAGAGAGAGATGTAGAGAGAATTCCCAATTCTTTGCAACAACATCCAATTCAAACAAATAATATTTTTTGAAAATCCAAATTCGATTCAAAGCTTCAAAGCTTTTTAATGGTTGTCAATGGTGGAATCGTGGGTGGGTGCAAGATACGTGGGGGAGAGGGTGGGATGTGGAGAGAGACACGTGGTTAGAATAATTTTAGGACACTAATTATTATCATTAATTCTCTTAAAATGTACATAAATGGTAATTGGGTATATAAAAGAGAAAACTACCCTCTATAGCCCCTCAAAATTTTAATAGCCCATGTTTTATCCTACTTACAAAAAATGGCCCTTCGGCCCAAACGTATGGCATATAGTAGCCAAAAGGAATAAAAATGACAACATAAGCGCATGTAGCTCAGTGGATAGAGCGCCTGTTTCCTAAGGTGAAGGTCGTAGGTTTGACCCTTACCTGGCGCGATAGAGCAACCCTTTTTTGCCTTTTTAAATGTACTTCTGGATCTGATAAGTATTAGCTAACAATTGAATGAAACATGTAATGCAGGTCATATACGAAATGTCTATTTTTGTATATTTTTTGTACAATAACAGTCTATTTTTGTATATTTTTTATATAATAACAGACTATTTTTGTATATTTTTTGCATAGTGACAGTCTATTTTGTATATTTTTTGTATAGTAACAGTCTATTTGTATAGTGACAGTCTATTTTGTATATTTTTGTATAGTAACAGTCTATTTTGTATGGTGACAGTCTATTTTGTATATATTTTGTATAGTGAGAGCTAATTGTATATAGAATGTATAGTGGCAGTCTATTTAGTATATTTTTATATAGTGATAGTCTATTTTGTACATATTTTGTATAATGACAGTCTGTTTAATATATTTTTTGTATAATGACATTCTATTTTTGTATAGTGACACTATATTTATATATAAATTGTATAGTGACAGTCTATTTGTATATAAATAGTATAGTGACAATCTATTTTGTATAATTTTTGTATAATAACAATCTATTTTGTAGATATTTCAACTTTTTTCATAGTCATCTCCTCTGTTCTTCCTCTCATTGAGAAACCAACCACCGGCGTCCATGGCCTCACAATTGCCGAAAATGGTAACAAGATCGCCGGAGTTTTAAATTTTTAGCCAAAGATCTTCAAAATATTATCTACATATTTACAAAAACTATAAGAGAAAATTAGAGAAAGAAGACAAGGTTGTCTCTCTCGTTGCCTTATGCTACACACTGCTCCTCTCGCTTTCCTCTTCTTCCCTATAGGTTGCTGCTATTGAAATATGTTGATGACATGAACATTTGCAAGAAATATGTCACGAAGAATACTTAATGCTCGGGCTCCCTTCTCAACTGGACCAAGGACACCTTTTCTTTCTCCATTTTTACAATTGTTTTGCTTTTTGTTTTTTCTGTGTTGCTGGTAACATATGCTTGCACACACCCCTTTTTCTTTTGTTTTGATGTTGATTTAACGGGTAAAAGTCCAGAACTTCTTAGATCTGGCCGGTTCTAGGATTTTCTGGCGTTTTGCTGTTGTTTTAACGGGTAAAAGTCTAGATCTTCTTAGATGTAGGATTTTCCGGCGAGGGAATTCGATCAGTGAAGTTTCCGGCTAGCACTTGTCATTATTTTTAGGCTATGACTTGTATGGGTCAATTTGTGGGCTACCGGTTGAAATTTGTTTTGCCCGATGAGCTATAAATGAAGTTCTCTCTATATAAAATGTAATTATAATAAAACTTGAGTAGGAAGGGTAATATAATTTCATATCGTGTATAGGAATGTAAAAATTCCTACTGGAATCCACCTAAAGCCCGTTAGTATTTTGGCCCATAAATTGGTCGACTAGAAGCCCAAATTATTGGATCCACCAAACCAATAAGCACGACAAAAACGGGTGTTGGTGAAGAAGTAAATGGCTTAACAAAGACGAAAGCCACGTTTCCCAAACACAGTGTTACACGTGCCAACGCCTGATAGGTCTATCAAGTCTTTTATTTTTTTATTCCTTCTCTACTTTAACGTTACAAAACGACGACCTTGACCAAAAGCTCCCCACGATAAAAGGAAAAAAAAAAAAATAATAAAGGTTATAGAAGAGTCCAAAGGAGTGGGGCACGTGAATGGAAAATGCACCCTCCGTCTCACTCGCATTTAGCCTAAACCCATGGGAAACTAAAACGGCGTCGTAATAACAGTAACAAAGTCGAAAAGGACAAAAATCAAAATTTCATTTCGCTGAAATTTCATGTACATTTACATTTACGTCCAACGGTACACATGAGAATCGGATCACAGCATCTTATCCGTGTCGCCTCACTCTATAAATACTCTTCCTACTTCTCCCCATTCCTTTGCTTCACTCTGAAAAAGTCCCAGAGAGAGAAACTGTGTTTTGAGAGAGAGAGAGAGAGAGCTTGGGTAGGAGAATAGCTTTGGAGAGGTGGTCTTCATTTCTGTTACTGCGTAAGTTCTTTCTCGAGTCTCTTTAATTTCATGATTTTGCCTCTTTTTTTAAAAAATTATTTTGTTGTAGAAGTAGCTCAGAATTAGGTAGCTGCAATATCTACCTGTTTTATTTGTTTATTTATTTATAATTATGTCCTAGATCTTGAGATATTCCTCGTTAGATTTGGTTTATTCTCTATAAATGTTTGGGGGAGATAAATATCTGTACGCTATGGCTGAATTTGGGAAATTTTACTGTTTCTATACGCCCTATTTTGTCAGTTTTGTAAAGGAGCTTTATTTTTGGTGTAATTTGGAGGTGAAAAAAATGACTTTTGTAATACACACCTAACCAGATAATTTATGAAATTACATGTAAGGAAGAACTTTTGCACTTAGTGCTAATAGAACACTGCAGATTTACTCTAGATGTGTAAATGGAGAGGGTTAATATGATATCTTTTGAATCAAAGACCTTTTATCGTGGCCAGTTAATAGTCAGTTCCCTTGGTTTTGTTCCACTTCAGTTGTTTTTGCTGCAGCACTGCTTGGCACATATCTTAGCACTTCTTTTTTTTTTAAATTATTACTGCTTAGCACATATCTTTCCTTTTCCCTATGAAGTTGTAACACCCATCTGGTGGACGACTCCATTTGTTGGGTTTGGGTGGGGGGTGGGGGTGGGGGAGGGGTAGGGGGGGTAAGCACCTCTCGAACCTCCATTTTTTTATTTTCTTTATGATAGTAGTGCTTGGGCCAGTTTGCGCCCATCAACTATTCTATCGGTTGACTGCTTCCTCCCACACTCAGCCCACGATGGGAAGAAATCACCTATTGTTTACTTTCTCTCCGTTGGGTTTTGAAATTGAGACCTTAAGATTCTTCTCCCCACACCTTTGGGTGCAACCGCCAATTGATCAAGTATTTTATGCTAAGCTTTTTTTTTATTTATTTCCTTTCTAAATTGAGGTCTGCTTAGAGATGATTTTCAATAGGAAAAGATTTAAGATGGTTTTAGTCCTTTGAAATCATTTTATTCCATAACCGTCCCATCAATCTTGACGGATCTCGTACTTGTTGGGTCTACAGAGCATCAGGGAAAGGCAAGTGGGGTGTGCGTATCTTCTCAAACTCAAAGTTAGCTGATCATCTGAACAATGGAGGTACTTGGAAAATCTATGGTAGCAGTGCCTACAAATGTTATATATCTGTCAACTATTCTTGGCCAAGATGGCCCTATCCCTGTTCACAAATGCGATTGGAAATGTGCAAATGAACATGTTTGTGGGAACATGTACCGCTGCCGTCTAACTGGGATGACACACATTTGTGACAAAAACTGTAACCAGCGAATACTGTATGATAATCATAACTCTCTTTGCAGAGTTAGCAAGCAGATTTTCCCTTTAACATCAGCTGAAGTGCAGGCTGTGAAAGGTGTACGGAGGAAGTTTGATGCTGAAAGTTCCCCTTCTGATAGCTGCGCCTTTAAGCGCAGAAGGGATGCACATTTCCATCCATCACCATTTGAGAGATCTTTCACTGCTGTCAGTCCCATTTGCAGTCAAGTTGGAGATGGAATGGACATGAGCTAGATATAATAAATTTCCTTCCTTTCGTCTGTTTTAAAATTTCCTGTCTTTTGGGACAGGAATAAGAACAATTTCATAATTTACATGGCAGACCCGGTTGTCTTGCCATTTGTAGGAGGCACTTATATTGGACAATCCCATGGACTGTAGCTTTATGGTAACTATTTAGGAGTAACAATATTATGTCTACAAACGTTGATGTGCGCTCAAGTTGATGCCACTTGAGGCTTTAACTATATGCAGTGCAGCTATTTGTATAACCTTAACTATATATGGTTTTACTGTGTAATCACTTTAAGTAGTGGCAATTATCCTTTTTCGGGTTGTCAAATGCCTATATTGACTTGCTGGACTTCTTTTGTCGCCTACTAATTACCGTGATTAACTTTGGGAGGTTTATTGGAATCCATTCAGTGGATATATAGTACTTCGTTGCTTTCCTACAGGAACATATAGTACTTTGTTTGCTTTTACAGGTACTTGCCCCATCAGATGAAGAACACTCTTTTCAGTGAGCTCATTAAAGCTCACCTACTTTTATAGCTTTAACTTCCTACTTGTTTGGCAGGTTTTGGAGGAGAGCTCTATTTTCTTTCATACCTGTTGCATTAGTCTCGTCTTAATTCACTTTTAAATTTTGTTCATACATGGCATCCTAAAAATGATTTTACTTTTGCAGGAACTCAAGCATTTACTGTGAGTTGAGATATAGCTTGTTATATTGAGGATTTATTATTTGTCTGAATTCATTAGCAGAATCATGAGTTTCTTACTGAGTTTGTTCTTTCTTTATTCAGCAGATCTGTGCTCTTCCACGTGGTCTGAAGGCTGAACAACTAGAACCAGTTACAAACCTTGAACTCTTGAACATGGGTAGGATGTGGATCTAACAAAATCAGTTGGTTTTTGCTAACCACGTTAAAGCGTAACTCTGTCCTGCTGTAGCATTGTCAGTAATATCTTGTCTGATATTGTTGAAGGAAAGTCCTATTTGGTTGAAATGGCTTGGAGTCAGAAGTCTGGTGTTTACTTCTGCCTATCTGTATCTGCTTTTTCTGATAGTGTTACCTGAAGAAGAATCTTTAGCAGCCAAATCAAGGGGTGTCTGCTAACCACAATAAAATGACTAGCCTGCTGTTCAATTTGCTCCTCTGTTATTGCGAAAGAAAGATCCTGTTTGGTTGAAAGTGCTTGAAGTCCAGAGGTGTCAGGCATTGATCCACTAATAATTAACTTTCTGCCTTCTGATAATAACTAGTCATTTGTGCCTTGCTGCCGATATCGTTTTCATGTCATTCAGAAAGGCTACACATGCTGTATGTTCCCCATTTCTTTGTGCTTTGAATTCTAAATTGGCACTTCCAATCAGTGCAGTATTTGCTTATATGCTGCATTCTTGCTACTTTTCAGGAAGGCAAGGTGAATGGCAGTGACCAGAAAAAGTCAGGTCTCTAGCTGTAGCTTAGCCCAATTTCGTTTCAGGCAATGTCAGTGCGATCGGTTGTGGTGAATTATAGGAGTCATCATACGAGTCAAAGATGATTTCCACTGAAATGTCCTCTTGGAAAACGATCAACATTTGTATCTGATATTGATCACTCGGGGAATGCATCTTTGTCAATTGTGTATGGCTATGGAGATCTATTGCAACAAAGCTCCCTTGAGAGCTTCCTGTTCCACTTGGTCAGTGGCTAAGGAGGCATGCCTCACCACAATCTGATTGGAGTGTTGTATGGATTGAAAGAAACAACAATCTCAAGGCAAAAATAGGAACATACTAGCCTAAACATAGATGCATTTCTTTGTTAGCATTTTGGTGCGAATTCAGCTTTGTACATGATGCAGATGCAATGATTGAGATCCGATAGGGTGTTTGCAGTCTGTAATTTCCTACATAGCACTGGCAGTGTGCGAGTTTTCCATTTATAGAACATTTCTCATTACTTATTAAAAAGTGCTTCTTTGTCAATATCAGCTAGTTTCATCTGATTGGCTGGTGATCTGAGGCTGCTCTCATGTTTATGTACGTTTCTCCTTGAGTTATTCTTCCATTTTTGGTTCTAACCTGAATATTGTAGTATCTGCTGGCTTTTCATAGTGATGGAAACAAAATACTTGAAGGAAGAATAAAGGAGTTCATCAATTATAATTGCTAGTTATGCCCCTCATATTGATTGTTTTGGCAACTTTTTCTTCGATTGAATGACAATCAGATATGTAATTATTGGAATAATTGTTGGAGATTCAAATGATGGATATGCAATTGTGATAACTTATATGTTGTTTTATATCTCCATGAATTTAGGAACTTTTGCTTGCATTGTATTATTTGATTTACGTCCCGAAAATAATAACATTGTATTATTTGATTTACGTCCCGAAAATAATAACATTCGAGATTATGTAGGATTATACACAAAAGAAGCACATTCGAGATTATGTAGGATTATACACAAAAGAAGCAGGAAAAGATGTTTTCTAAGTTTGATGGTTTTGATCATTTGTTCCCGGTTGTCAGAGCCACCAAAGACCACAGTAAACTACTCTCTACAAGAGAAGTGTGCTCTCTTTCAGTAATTTTTGCAGCATGTTATTTTTATTTTTATTTATGATTAATACAGTGTATGAAATCCTTGAATAGATCATGAAATTGACTTTGCTGCCAGTCCAAAACTACCTCCATTTTAAATTGGCTATTGGAGTTGGTTGAGTTGGTACGATCTGCCGACATCCACTTACAGTGGCAACAAGAAGAGAAGAGAGCCCATTTCCATTTAATTCAAAATCATATAAAAAGACCAAGGAAAGAAATTGTTCCTGCACAACCTAACCAATGACATGTTGCTTCCTCGCAAATTCACTATGTTTATAAATAAAAGGGAGCCAACGGTTCACTAAGAAAAATAATTAAATGAAACGTCAAATTATATCCAGATTCAACCCATATATCAAATCATGTCAAGTTACTATGATTACGATAGAACAGAATGATTATATAAAAAAAATTCTTGTGCCGAGGGTCTATCGGAAATAATGTGTCTCTCTTCACAAGATAGGGATAAGGTTTTTGTACACATTACCCTCCCCAGATTCCACTTATGGGATTCCTCTGGGTTTATTATTATTGTTGTTGATCATATAAAGATCTTATGTATGTCTTAATAAAAATATTGTAAAATGTGTAATATAACTAAAAGAATACAACAACAACCCTGCCTATTGGAAACAGCCTATCTATCCTCACAAGGTAGGGGTAAGGTCTGCGTACACACTACCCTCCCCAGACCGCACGGTGTGGGATAAATACTGGGTATGATGTTGTTGTTGTTGTTGTTGTTATTGTTGTTGTAATACAACAACAACCCAAAATAATCCAACAAGTGGAGTCTGGGGAGGTAGTGTGTCCGCAAACCTTACCCGGGTAGGGAGGCTGTTTCCGAATATAATTAAAAGAATATCTTATGTAAAAATGTACTATATAAATTCATCATGCTTAAATGATAATTTTTGTGCAAATGACACGTCATATCATATACTACTTGTTGCTTTGACGCATGGATAGAGAGCAAGCAAATATTTTCCAACCCAAATGTGCAAGTCATTGGTTAGTATTGCAAAGGAATGTTAGTGTCTCAGTGACAATTGGATCCTACAACGATTCCAATGTCTATTATGGTAAAGCTTAAGCTTGACACTTTGTTCCACACTTAGTAATGAAGACTGGTTGTCTATATTTTCTTGATTTATTTTTTTAATTTATGGGAATCTAGATACCCTTTTCATATGGTCTAACCTTTTTGAAGCGCTACAAACAAACCCGATTCTTGATCTGATGATTCTATATCCTTTTCATAGACATGCATCCTCGTAGTTGCTAAAGAAAGGAATTGCCTCTTATTGGGGCCATCCAAGATACAAAGAAATGCTAAATCCAGAGGTGTGATGTTGCAGCTGATGAATTAGCAAAGCAACTTAACACTTATGGATTTTGTATCAAATATGTAGAATTTCTTTCCACCTACAAATATGATAGGGTGTTCCATTTTTGTATTCTAAATTCCCCCTACACCTACCTCTATCTCCCAGAAGAATAGGACACAACCATAGACTAAGGACCATAATAATATGCTTGCCATAGCTTCCTGGAAAAAGTTTTTAATTTCATTGCTTTTCTGCGCGTTGTTTTCTCATTCTTTTGGCAGCACTTTCACCATTACTAACAATTGTCCTTATACAATATGGCCTGGTACACTGTCTGGTTCTTCATCACCTAAACTTTCCACGACTGGCTTTCAATTGAATGCTGGCCAAAGCGTCAGAATTCCAAGTGTCCCAGGATGGTCTGGTCGAATTTGGGCAAGAACTGGCTGTACTTTTGATGCGTCAGGTGTTGGCTCTTGCCAAACAGGTGACTGTGGTGGAAAGCTCGAATGTGATGGCCTTGGTGCCACACCACCTGCCTCTCTCTTCGAGATAACTCTGGGTGTGGGAGAGGCTAAAGATTTCTACGACGTCAGTATTGTTGATGGTTACAACCTGCCAATGGTTGCAGCTCCACAGGGAGTCCATGGAGGATGCAATGTCACTGGATGTGTATCCAATCTTAACATGGGTATGTTCTCCATGTAGTTGTTTACTGAATATGATTAGAAGATTATTTCATAGCAATGACGTTCAGGCCACCTTGCACGCACCTTGACTATTACACCGGGTATCTGCTACCTTCCCACAACACAAGCACCGAGATATAATGCCTGCCAAGACCTAGGCAGTTCATTGACTAACATCTTTGGGTGCAAATATACTAAGAACCATTTAACAGATAAGACTAACAGATATCTATTCAAAAATCTAACAGGTTGCCCAAAAGAACTTCAAGTGGTGGGTGGAGATGGAGATGGAGATGGAGATGGAGAAGGGAATGTAGTAGCATGCAAGAGTGCATGTGAGGCCTTTGGATTAGATCAGTATTGCTGTGCCGGAGAGTTTGCCAATCCAACAACTTGTCGTCCATCATTCTATTCCAGCATCTTCAAGAGAGCTTGTCCAAGGGCTTATAGCTATGCATATGATGATGGCACCAGCACTTTTACCTGCAAGGCTGACGACTACGCAATCAGCTTCTGCCCCATGAACGGGTAATGTTATTGTGTATATCTAATTATCCATACACTAGATCTTATGCTTTCCATTTTCCCCTAATCTACCACTATTGAATTGTGAAACAGGGTAAGGAAACCCAATGGTGGAGAAACAACTCCACCTATTGAAGAAAGTAAAATGGAAAAGTTCCCAGGGAGAGTTTCATCTTCAAGCATTCTCCTTCCATTCCCAATGCTGATTGTGCTGTTACTTTTCAGCACATATCTCCAGACATAAGTCAGAACAGCACAAATCATGACATGGTATGTCATTACAAGAGAACATTTAAGGAATGATATCTGGAGAAATAGTTGGGCATTCCTGAGGAAACTTAGAGCAAAACCATACAAACAGCAACCTGTTTAAAGTAGGCAGTATCTTGTATTTAAACATTCTCTTTACTTGTTTTTAAAGTATCACATTACGCACTAACAAAATGTAGAAAATCGGATGAATTGCTGTTCTTTGTTAAATTGAATCAACACACATCTAAAATTCACCTGTAACGTGAGAAATGCAAAGGAAAAGCAATCAAAATCCAAGATTAGAGTTCGTCGATGAAAGAACCTCTAAACGAAATATGGTGGATATTTAGGGTTGAGATGGTGGATTTTCAACTGCGATTTGAAAATCTTGCAAATAAAAAATATGATCTGGTCAGTACCAATATTCTTGTTTTTTATGACTACTTTTATAAGCTCTTATAAAATTTATTACAAGTATTCGTGTAGACAAAGCACAGAAAAACAGGAAATAAAAAGAGGAAAAGAAATGAGAATACATAAAGTATGAATGAAATATGTACAATCATATCTTATTTTTTGCTCTTGCTTTTCTTTGGTGCTTGAGGTTTCTTTTTAACTTTATTTGGTATCTTCACTCCCTTCTTGCCCTTCTTTTGTTCCGTAGCCTGCAGAGACAGCTTGGATCTCAATATATGACCTAGAAATTGAAGCAACTCTCAGCGGTAAACAAAAAGAACAAAGCATACCGATGCTTTTTTAGCTTTCGCTTTGACATTTCCATTGATCTGATGATCAGCATTCTCATTCTGGTCACCTTGGGAAGCTGGTCTTCGCAAATTTTCAGCCTCCTCGTCCGAATCAAATGTGAAACCATCAAGAGTCCCTATCAAAGTCAGAAGGATCGATTCAAATTGGACTGTAAATGGCTTAGTTCCCAAAGTGAAACACTAGGAGGACGTTTGACATCTACTTTCTATAAAAGCAGATATTTCAGATAGAAACTTGACCTTCAACCATGGTTTCAGCTTCGTAAACATTTGATTGTGGCTTCAGTTGTATGAAGTCATTCATGATGGCCTCCACCTGATCAGAGAGCACATAATCATCAACTAACAGCAAAAATCTTACTTATTTCTAAAAGTTCTAGGACATGCTTTGATAAAATGGAAAGTAAAATGAGAGACGAGTCATAAACCAACGCCAGAATAGCAAATCTAAAGTTAATAGTCGTCTCTCCACTGTTTTCGCTATGGATAGAATAGCAGATTAATCAGTAAGCAAGCCAAAGAAACAAACCTTTGCTTCTGTCTGTCCAAAGCTTACCTACAAAAGAGCACAATTTTATTAGATATAGATTTGTGAAGGTGGGTGCGTATGTGCGTGTGTGTGTATGGGGGAGATAGGTAAAGACAGCAGAAAATTGCTAGAGACAAGAGCGCCATACCACACAAAACGTCCTGGAAGGCAATATTGTCGTTTTATATATGGTTCCTGAGATATAAAACAATTGAAGCATTCAGAAAAAAGAAAATCCAGAGTAATAAGATTACAAGAAAACTTTCGTGGAAATTGCTAGTACCCAGCCTAAAGATGAAAATGTGGTTGTGTTTTCATGTGCTTTAAACATATGGGCTAGTGATATGATAGCATATTGATTCAAATCAATAATTTTTGTCATGCTAGAACAATAATGATGTTCATTGTTTGAAACATATTAAAAGCAACCACAAAAGGGACTTGCAAGAAATTGGAAAACAAAGGTTTCAGAAACATGTTTATACCTTTCAAATCGAAAAGCATTTCATGTTTTCCTGATGGACCATCTGAAATAACTATCCTCCCAACAGCACCCATATCACCACTCAGATCTATGGAATCACCTTCACACTCCACAAGTGCCTATGTCAAGAGAGGAATCTAAAGTGATGCAAAGCTTCACAGGATTAACAGAAAATAACAAGGATTGGAAAAAGAAGAGACAAAAGCAAAAACAAGTACAATATTAATAATCCTTTAATTGTACCAACATCCAACTTGTTAAAAGTTCCATACAAGTGGCAACCTGCTAATGCCTAAGCACAATTCTTTTATTTATTCTCGATAATGGTGTTGCTAGCTAACGCACGTCTCCATTAATCCACCGGATACCTGTTATCTCTCACCATCACAAATAAGGTAACTTTGCCCACCAAATGATTAGGCAAATGGGAAGAATTCAACTAGTGCCATCTAAACGATAAGAATTCAACTAGTGTCATCTAAACGACTTTGTTTTGGACTTAGTACAGTGAACTTTTTAGATGCCAAACTGGAATAAGCCACCATATCCTCTTCCTCTGACATTTAGACAAATAGTTCTCAGTTCAGGAGAAAAACTGAAATGGGGTGTGCCCTCAGGGTTTTGACTAGTGGAAAGCGCAACACATGATGTGTGGGTTAAGTGCACATCACAGGTTCGAACCCCGCCACAAACAAAAGCCTCGTCTTTAAGTGGAGAAGCGTAGAGGAGCGGGCCCATGATCCATAGTGTTTTGATCAGTACGCCAGGGGTGCACTCAGGGATTTCGTCGTTATCAAAGGACAAAAAAACTGAAAGGGGGTGAAAACTAGGAAACTCTGGTCTCTGGACTTATTAGCAGATTTGAGAAGGAAATTTGCTGAAAGGAAAAGAATAAAGAGAAAAACAGACAAACCATAGTAATAACCTCCACACAAACATAGTCACTACACCCTGCTTACTTTACCTTTGTCCTTTGTACTTTCTCGGGAAGCACCAAAGGCAGCCTTGAAGTTGACAACTACACAATGATCATAAAAGTGAATGAGCGAACAGTCAACATAACCAAAGATCCATCAAGGATTACTAAAGTTTCTCACATTTGGTACACTTTGTTTCTCAGGAATATTTTCCTCCACAGCATCCACGTCTTCCTTCTCTATACCATTTCAAACAACAAATTACAAAGAAAAATAAATAAATTTTCAGGAGGACCAACAACTCTTACAAGATAAAGAGAGCAAACCCTAATTTAAGCTTAAACAGACACTTCCTCCAAATATTTTGAGATCCATTCATCTCTTATATACTAAGTTATATGGTTAGAATGTTCAGAAACCAGAAACAGCAGGCTGACCTTCCTTTAGCTGACTCTCTAATTTTTTCTTCTTTTCCGGATCCTCTTTCTTCAGCTTTTTCTTTGGAGATTTTGATGTGGAAGGTACATCATTTTCTTCTTCTTTTATAGGCTTAGCATCGTGTATAAGCAACTCTTTATCAAGGACTTCCTCCACTTTTATGGAACTGCCATCATGAGAAGATTCAGAATCCGATGACAACGTCAAGACTGAATGACTAGGTTCCTGCATGAACCAAAATTATGCTTGAGATAGAATTAAGATCACTACCGTTAACAGTATTCGCATTAAAGTTATCAATAAAATGTATGGGAGAAGACTGTGTCAAGCCAAATGTCGCTAAACTTCGGGCAACTGATCAAAAGGTGGAAAAGAGATGCCAATACCATATTGTGATAATTTCCGTAAGGATGGCTAAAGCAAATCACCACTTGCAGCAATTGCCAAAACTAATAACAAGTACTCGTACTACCTTTTACTGATACCTAGAAAAAGAAAAGTGTTCATGTGACTCCAAAAGATTACATTGGGGAAGGATAGAGATATGTCAAAAAACAATTTTTTAATAATAGTTTTTTTATAGGAGAGATATGTCAAAAGGTTTTAATCTGCACAATTTAGTCCCAGAATAAATTCCGCATAGAGTAGTTATTTCAAAATATTACAATCTGCCTAGTTAACGATTGCACCATTCTAGCATCGGAAAAGGGTCAAATATGCCTCTCTACTATGCGAAAAGGATCACATTTACCCTCCGTTATACTTTCGGTTCAAAAATACCCTCGACGTTAATCTAATGGCTTAAATTTACCCCTCTTCCGTTAGAGCTGTCCAAAGTGGACACCCAATCCCATATGTCACTATAATTTGATGACATGGATACCACGTGGCATGCCATCTCATCGGCCACAACTCATGTTACCCCCTCCCTTCACTTCCTCTTCCATCATCTCCTCTCCTGTTACCACCCTTGCCAGTTGCCACCATCACCACCATTTTTACCACCTTCAGCTCTCAGCCATACATCCTTACTGTAAGCATGAGAAATCAACAATTCTAGCTTACAGACTCCAAAAACGATACCAAATCCTTGGAGCAAAATACCACAAGAACTATGCAAAACAAAACAAACCCAAAATAAAAGATCACTAAGTATCAGAAATGAACAACTCTATTGTAAAACTCCTGAAATGGTACCAATTTTTGGAGAAAATACAACTAGAATTATGCAATAGAACCCAAAAACAAAAAATTTATAGCTCATAAGTTGACACCTCCAGCACAAAAATTCCAAAAACGGTACAATGCTTGGAGAAATACTCAACTACAGTTAGGCAAGAGAAAACAACAAAAAAATTGATTCATAAAGCATCAGAAGTTCACAACTCGGTGAAAAACTTCAAAAATGGTACTCCTCCTGTTCCAGTTTATGTGAACCTATTTCCTTTTTGGTTTGTTCCAAAAAGAATGATTCTTTTCTAAATTTGGTAACAATTTAGTTTAAACTTACAATTCTACCTTTAATGAGAAGCGTTTATAACCACACAAATACTCCGGGCCCCTTTTTGACTTGTTTTGGACCACAAATTCCAAAAGTCTTCATTTTTTCTTAAACTCCGTGCCCAGTCAAACAGGTTCACATAAATTGAAACGTAGGGAGTACTAATTTTCTAAGTGGGTAAAATATAACAACCCAAAACAATAGTTTTTCCAAGCATCAGAAGTCACGAGTCTTATGTAAAATTTCCTAAGATGGTACAGGTTGTTGAAGAGAAATATAACCAGAATTAGGCAAAAGAAGACACCAAAACCACAGATTTCACTTGGGAGAATACTTTTTGACAATTCTAGTGTTAAAATTTCTGAAGTAATATCAATTTTACGAAGAAAAATACAGCTAGATGTGTAGGAAGAGCCTATCATAGAGTAAAGGTAGAGGTGGTGAAACGGTGGTCGTTATGGTGGTGGTGATGGTCGCGATGGTGGTAAAAGGAGAGAAGGTGCTAGAGATGAAAGAAAAACTGGAGAGAGGAGGTAACATGGGTTGGGGCCGATGAGATGGCATGCCACGTGGTATCCATGTCATCAAATTATAGTGCCA